TTGTTTTTCTTGTCTAAACTTGTAAATTTTTTATTCTTTTAAATGTTATATTTCTACCATTTTTTTTTCTCTTTAAAGTTAGGAGTACCTTTCTTTTTTCTCTTACTTTATGCATTACACTTGTCGGTATTGCAGATAAAGTTCGATAAACAAATTCGTAAATTGAAATCCATATTAATAAAAGTGCAAAAAAAATATGCAAGAAAATTTCAGCATATATTTTGAAAAGAGGGAAGGAGTGGGGAAAGGAGGGGAGGGCCCAAAAACGGCTATGCCTAGGGCCTACGAAAGGTATAATCCGGCTCTGTGTCTAGGCCTACGAAAGGTATAATCCGGCTCTGCCAGTGATGTCAACGTTCACCGTGACGTCTGTTTGGTCGAGTGATTGATCTTTCTGCCTTCATATCTATGATTTGACCGAAGAAAAACGACAGACCGGGAGTTTCTGGTGTTGGGGTACGACAGAAAAGATCAAAGATTTCAACAGAGGAATCTTAGCATTTTCTACCAAATAATATACTAGCATCTGTTTGAACTAGGTCTTGCCTTTCACTTCGTTACAAAATTGTCTTAAATTTACGAATCTTTGGGTCTAAAGCAGATCTCGAGGAATCGTTCTATAAATAAGTTGTTGTACAGACAACACTTTAAAGTACACCGTTTCCCTTCAAATCTATGTCTAAATTGAGGAAGAGGTCGCACAAAATTGTGATGGCATGTCTTCGGATGATCCACAGGGATGTTTCCCCAAACCGTCACCAATAGCCTATTGTGCAGCTGTTGTGCGATGTAAATAAAGTACCAACCTGAAGTACAGTAAGGCCTCCCTGGTCGAGCGGTATTTCCCGTCAAACACCGGGTGAAGCGTGGAGGTAGGTAATCTTTGTGACGTCCTTCTCTAAATTGTTCTATCTGTCCTTCTACTTGACAAATATTTATAAGCCTAAATTGAGCAAACAAGCCTCCAAATGTATGTAATTTCAGTAAAGCAATAAAACGTTAAGTACAGAAAGATCCTTTTATTGACGAAGGTGCACGAACCTTGTACCTTCTACATTTTAAGGTCCTAGATGAGACTAACTTTTAATTTAACAATGAAACACGCTTGCTTTTCGTTTATAACTACTAGAGCGTCTTTGTTGAACTCGCATTTCCTCCGCCCTGACATAACATTTTTAATTCTTTTACCTTTTCACCAATTTGAAACACTTGTCAAATTAAAGAACCTGTGACATAAATTAATGAAGGACATAGTAAAAGGAGAATAAAAAATACATTAATGAATGCTTCGTAAATTGAATTTGCTACCTTCAAGTGTTTGGCCGAAAGACAATGTTTTCGGTGACTTAGTCCTCAGTGCATGTATCTAAAATAAAGCATTTATTTATTGGAATTACATACATTTTCAGGCTTGTGATCTCAATTTAGACTTAGCCTTTGTCAAATAGAAGGCCAGATGGCACAATGCAGAGAAGGACAGCACGAAAATGCATCTATGATAACAGCGAGATTCGAACCCGTTACCTCCACTCTTTGCTCAGCGTTTTGTGGGCGATACAGCTCGACCAGGGAAGTCCCTCTAAAATAAAGCAAAAAAAAAGACAACCGGAAGTGATTTCTAGCACGAATTCATTTTTATAAAAGGTGCTTGCAAGTTTTATCTGTCTGTGGCTAGGCGTTCGACAGAGTATGGCATGCCATACAATATAATATCCCAAATGATATAGTTCATATTATCAATAACTATATAAATAATCGATCATTCTCAATAAGAATAAATGACCACTTTTTCTCAATTAGAAAAATCAAAGCAGGAGTGTCCCGGGGCTCAATTTTGGGACTTATACTCTTTCTAATATATTGTTCTGATTTCCCAGTTAATAGAAGCGACGTTAATCAACTAACAGCTTTCTACGCATATGATACTGCAATATTAAGTAAATTTATAAACACAAATCACACTATTAAGTTGTTGTTGTTGATGTTGTTGCTAATTTAAGTTGCACTAGAGCTGCACACTGGGCTATTGGCAACGGTCTGGGAAATATCCTGGAGGATGATCCGAAGACATGTCATCACAATTATCACGCTATTAAGAAACTGCAAAATAATATTACGGATATAAAAACGTGGCGCAACAGGTGGAAAGTGAAAATAAACAGTTCAAAATCTAATCTTCTAGTTATCAAAAAGTTCTATAAAAGGAAAATTATCCAATATGAGAAAATTTTTACATTTAACGAAGAAACCCCAAAGGTTTCGAGTCCCGCAGTGGACTGATCGTTAAGGCACGGTTCCCAGCAGATCACCGAAGTCAAGCATCACTGGCTGCGGTCAGTGTGCGGGTGGGTGACCACTTGGATCAGTCTGCGTAGGGACTGAGGGTGTGTGGTATTGGTCCTCGTTAAACTGTGTTACCGTAAAGTGCTCGACTTCGCGCGCAGGTCGTCGGGCTACCGAAGTGGGGGTGCCACCCCCTCCGCAGAAGATCAAAATTGTGATGGCATGTCTTCGGATCATCCTCAGGGATGTTTCACAGACCGTCGCCAATAGCCCATTGTGCAGCT